TTGAAAGGGTTAAAAATGGGGTTTGGGGGTTACTGGTTTATACTGGTTTATACTGGGAGGGGACTGGGATGGACTGGAAGAGGATTGGGACAAACTGGGACAAACTGGGACAAACTGGGAGGGACTGGGAGGGTTAAAAATGGGGTTTAAAGGGTTAAAAATGGGTTTAAAAGGGTTAAAAAGGGGGTTTGGGGTTACTGGTTTATACTGGTTTATACTGGGAATGGACTGGGTAGGGACTGGAATAAACTGGGACAAACTGGGAGGGAGTGGGAGGGCTAAAACCAGGTTTAAAAGGGTTAAAACTGGGTTTAAAAAAGCATTAAAAATGGGGTTTGAGGGTTACTGGTTTGTACTGGTTTATACTGGGAATGGACTGGGAGGGGACTGGGATAAACTGGAACAAACTGGGAGGGACTGGGAGGGTTAAAACCAGGTTTAAAAGGGTTAAAACCGGGTTAAAAAAGCATTAAAAATGGGGTTTGGGTGTTACTGGTTTATACTGGTTTATACTGGTTCATACTGGTTTATACTGGGATGGACTGGGAGAGGATTAAGACAAACTGGAACAAACTGGGAGGGTTAAAAATGGGTTTTAAAGGGTTAAAAATAGGTTTTGGCAGTTACTGGTTTATACTGGTTCATACTGGGATTCCACCGCTCCATCCCCGCTCTGCCCCGCCCCCTTTCCCTCATGGCCACGCCCCTTTCCAGGTGATCGTCCAGCGCTGCCTGGCTGGCCGCTCCCTCACCCACGTCCGCGCCGGCTGCGTCGTCTGCGGGTACCTCAAAGTGCTGCCCATGTTCCTGATGGTGCTGCCCGGCATGGCCGCCCGCGTCCTCTTCCCCGGTCAGAACAAGCCCCGCCCCTTTCCAAGATGGCCGCCGCCACGTGGGGGAGTTGGGGAGGGAGGAAAGGGGGGGGTGATGGGGGGGGTTTCAATATGGCTGCTGGTGTAGATGGGGTGTGGGTGATATATCCAATATGGCCGCTGAGGGTGTTGTTCAATATGGCCGCCAATGTGGCTGCAAAGTGACCAATCTATCCAATATGGCCGCCAAGTAATTTATCCAATATGGCCGCCAATATGGCCACCAATATGGCCACAAATGTGGCCGCCAAGTGACCCATCCTTCCAATATGGCTGCCAATTGCTTTAGGTAACATGGCTGTCAATATGGCACCCAAATGTCTTGGCCAATATGGCCGCCAATATGGCCACCAAGTGATCAATTCTTCCAATATGGCTGCCAGGTAATTTATCCAATATGGCCACCAATGTGACCACCAAGTGACCAATCTATCCAATATGGCCGCCAAGTAATTTTTCCAATATGGCCGCCAATGTGGCCACCAATATGGCCACCAACATGGCTGTCAAATGGCCAATCTATCCAATATGGCCGCCAAGTAATTTATCCAATATGGCCACCAATATGGACACCAATATGGCCGGCAAGTAATTTGTCCAATATGGCTGCCAATGTGGCCGCCAAGTGACCAATCTATCCAATATGGCTGCCAATGTGGCCATCAATATGGCTGCCAATATGGTCACCAATATGGCCGCCAATGTGGCCGCCAAGTGACCAATCTATCCAATATGGCGGCCAATTAATTTATACAATATGGCTGCCAATGTGGCCACCAAATTATCCAATGTAGCCACCAAGTGAGCGATCTATCCAATATGGCTGCCAGGTAATTTA